TAATATAATCCCATAACAACACATGAATGCCACAACAAAACAATTTACCCCCCACTCTTGCCACCTGCAGAAACAAGATACATTTTTCACAGGACATTAAGACTTTGAACATTTCCAATCATAACTACTAAATTTATGCTTGAGTTCTAATTCATATAGTGGAAAGACAACTACCTCTGTTGTGTATGAATTAAGCAAGGCTTCACTACAAAAAAGTCCACACTTTAACTGCGATATGTTCAGTTCCATATGCCCATCATTCACACTATCAGTACACAAGCAAGAGCTGCACACAATAATAGTATATTCCAACTGAGGTAACACTGAGATAACCAAATGCTGTCTGGCATCGAGTTCAAGGTCAGGCTTTTAAAATCACTATTTTGGAATGACAGTTTTTTTCATTAGGCTCATGGATCTGCTGAACAACTATATGTCTATATAAATGTACTAAAACAACCCTGTCCCTCCCAGCACACTAAAAAAATCCAAGGATAATAGTACAGACAAGTAACTGAAATAATAGCCACTTCTATAAATCAACAGAATTTACAGAGCAGCCGAGGAGAGACACATATTAGCAAAATGGAAAATGCAAAGCTGATTGCAGAAATGACAAATCTTCTTTCACATGACAGTCTGTACTTTATATTGCTTGGTTTTAATGTTTTGCCTTTGATATGCTTTAAGAAAAAGAAGTACGAGCTATTAAAACGGCTCCTTCACATGTTAAGAGTGACTTCAAAACACAGTGGAAAACAAATTAATAAACTGTCTTTCTTGCTTTGCTTACTCCTGTGTTCGAGCTCTTTGAACTAGGGCCAATACTGGCAGTCATAGATACATAGTAGTCACCAAGCAGCTACCTTGCTGCTGAATACCCTGCAAAAGACAAGCTAATTATGCTCTGGTCTCTCTTCTATGAATAACTCAGCGCTACTAGCACTCCCTTTCCTTTGCATTTTCTTTCATACAACATCATGCTGAAAAGTGCTAAAAGATGCAGAATGTTTTTTGTATACAAAAAATTATTACAAAGTATCTGGATTTCTAAATACCCCTATGCTTGTTCCTTGGTACTTACAAATTAAATATAACGGAAAATGGAAACGCATAAGGTTTTTGTTTGTTTGCTTAAGTAACATAAAGCAAAATGGTATGCCTGAAATTCTAATGTATGTAAGTATGCAGATTACGCACACATACATATTGCTGCATTTTTTTTCATTTTACAAATGCATTCTCTAAAGAGAGAAGTTCAATTTTTAGGGCTAAAAATATTCATTATTTCACAACAATAGTATTTTCAACACTGTAACAATAAAGCTGCTTCTTGTTGTAAGGTTTGGACCTTATAACATGTACAATAACTATGCAGATATTTAGGATTTAGGATTTAAATTACGTACAAACAATGCCTCTTTTCCAAAATTTATTATTTTCTGGGTTACATTTCAGTCATTAGAACATACCTCTTTTCCTATTTAAGTGCAGTTCAATTTATTTACTCTTAATAGAAGACCTAGCTCAGAAGAAAAGGACCTGTTAAAGGTAAGGAATTCTGCGTAGAAAGAAACTATCCACACATACAAGGTAGGAAACTAAAGAAAATACTTTCAAAAGCAGGCCTTCCTTTTTAAACCTATAGACAACGTACAAACTGTATACACATCTGGAATGCAGTAATATCTGATTTGCAGCCTTGAACTACTTAAAATTCTAGAGCTTCAAATGCAAATTATGCAGAGAAATGCAAGGTGTGAACAGACTGTTCATCTATTATGTAAATGATGCAATATTTAGGGTAATGTACAGAAGTACCTTCTGATTAGACCTTATTGTTGTAAGTTTTCAAAAAATATGAAGACAACCACAATTTCTTCTCCCTACTTCTGGAGCAGAAAGACATATTTTATGTAGTGTGAAGTCAATACAGCTAAACACAAAAAGAAACTGAGAGACTGATGAATGGAACCTCGATAGCACTCAGTAAATTTAAACGGAAAATAGAAAATGTCTTTTAGCATTGCTAATACTAAACATGGCAGTAGAAGCCCATCACCTGAAAATTTTGCCTTTAACTGCTGGCTTTTGTGTGCTCCTTTGGTTAAGGATGCATTTGTACATTAAAATTTTGTGTAGTTGAATGTAACCACTACTGAGGAGAATATAAAAATATTAAAAAAACAGAAGTAAACTAGAAAGCAAAGCAGTTTCTCTTGAGTAGGAATAGTTTGATACAATTCTCACTATATTTATACATATGTAACAGATACTTGAGATAAAGCTCTTATTTAAGTCAGCAGCAGTTTCTTTACCTTTATAAAGAAAATTATTTAAATATCTATAATTTTATTAAATATGTCTCTCCTGATTCCAAAATTTTACCTTCCTGATCCCAGACTTTTTTTCTGTGTAGTGCTATTACAATTGTTGGTGTACAAAGTGTAGAATTTAAAGTTAAAAAGGCAGAACCTTCCACCCACCACCACAACACTTTCTGACAGGGCAGACAAACAAAATCTATCTATCAGCCTCTGTGTGTGTGTGTGTGTATATAAAAGATAAATAACTTATCGTCAGTGAAGTAACTGTCACATCACAAAGTGTGTGACATATAGGTCATAATGAAGTACACAAAATCAATCATATTTTTGCAGTCTTTGTTCTGTTTTGAAGAAAAAGAGAAACCATAAAAAATAAACAACAGTATATATTTAAATGTGCGTGTTTATGTGGCAGAAAAACACTTTCTAGGAAGTGTTTTACCCTGGATAACTTTCATTTTTGTCATCAGGGCTAGAGAGATTTAGCAAATGACTGAGTGAAAGCAGAAAAGCTATTGTCACTTAATAATTGCGTTGGAGAATACCCTATGTATCCTTCCTTCTCCAGTAAGCCTGTGCTTTAGGAATCTGAAAAGACTGTATGTAAGACTAATGTACCTGTGACTGGTAACATGAACTTGGAGATAAAAATTTAATTTCTAGTAAAGACAAGACTTGTCAATATTTTTTGACTGCCCTTGCTTTCACTTCAGTGAAAGGGGGAACTTAAAGCTCAACTGATTTGGGCCCTTAGGACCAGTGTTGGTTCCTAGGATATCTCAATAATGTGTTTCTCTCTAGTGGTTTAATATGGTGAGAATATTTCACTACTTTACCCGGCAAAAGAGATAATTTGAGACAGTAAATAGTACATGCCCACTTTTTGTACTTATGCCAGCGTCCACTAAGGCATTCTTACTGGAGCCCTGCTGTGTAGATAACTGCTAGTTCAGATATCAGCAAACGGTCTACAAAATAAGTGCAGCTAAAAATAAATAAATAAATACACACTTACATGTATATTCCCACACATTTGGAAGACATGTGTTGGTAGCTGCCAGCAAGCATAATGGGAAAGCAGCTTCCAACTTCTGTCGATGCCTGCCTGCAGGCAGAGTTAGCTCCATTGCTGTGCGTGTTCACATCAATTCACATACAAGAAACCAGCTCATACAGACAGTAGATCTGTAGGATTGTTTGGTGAAAAGAGTATGAAATCCTAGCTCATACACAAAGGATTTCCAAGTGTATTATGCACAGTGTTTGCATATACAATCCTGAGTTTAATGACAATTTTGCATGGACTTCAATGATAATAGATTCTAGCTCTCATGCTATGCCATATGTGCAGGATGTTACAGACTGCATACCAATAGGCCCATATAGTCAAGAGCCGCATGATACATATTCAGAGGTCAAGGAGGAGCTCTGCATATATTTCACAGGTAGGAGGTAACAGAGGCTCAGAGGCTTTCTCACAGGGGCTTCTGTGCAGAATGGATCTTTCTGAGCATCAAGGTGGTCCCAGAGCCATTGTTACTGTTGATTTAATGGGTAGTTGCTGATCAGCTTTCTCTGACTAACTCAGATTATCCTGCTCCAGTACAGGTCTCCTACCATTGACATGAGTCCTATGAGGAACAGAATCATAGAATCATCAAGGCTGGAAAAGACCTTTAAGATCATCAAGTTCAACCATCAACCCAACACCACCATGCCTGGTAAACTACATCCCAAAGTGCCATGTCTACATGTTTTTTGAGCACCTCCAGGAATGGCGAGTCCACCACTTCCCTGTGCAGCCTGTTCCAATGCCTGACCACTCTTTCAGCAAAGAAATTTTTCCTAATATCCAAACAACCCCAGTTCCCTCAGCTGCTCCTCATTAGACTTGTTCTCCAGACCCTTCACCAGCCTCGTAGCCCTTCTCTGGACACGCTCCTGCACCTCAATGTCCTTCTTGTAGTGAGGGACCCAAAACTGAACACAGTACTCGAGGTGTGGCCTCACCAGTGTCGCGTATAGGGGCACGATCACTTCCCTAGTGAGCTAGTTTAAACTGTATATGGCACAGCTGCAGTTCAAGTAGTCTTGCTGGCAACCTTAATTTCACAACCCAATCATGTTAGGCAGTACTAACTTGATTTCAGCCTGATTTCAGCATGATTTAAATGTGAATATACGATGTAGGGTATGACTTTGAAAAACACTGTGTATCCAGAAGAATAGACATGACAATGTGAAGTTTCATTATTTCCTTTTTTTTTTTTTATTGTAATTGTAATATGAAGAGATTAATAATCTTAGTAACCCTCTGAAATCAGAAGCACAGCCTAAAGAAAAGTACAGTGATTTGTGAGACAATCTTAATATGCTAAGGGGTTTGGCAGAAAACACTTGCATTTAATTATCTGTTATAATTCAGCAAATCTCTGAAATTACACTTAGTTTTAGATGTGAAAATGTCCTTAAAAATTTTCATATCCTATGAAGACCATTTCAAACTGGTCTCTTTCTCTGCTTCAGACACTTCACACATAAGCTGCAATGTGATAGTAACAAAGCTATTCTCGAAAATGGATATTAATTTTGAAATTATGTATTACTCAACATATTCCTTTGTAGCCTATCATCCCATGCAAATGAAGCATATGACTTTTATGAAGCAGGCACGCAAGTTTTAATGTGACAGTGATCTATCTTTCCTTGTGGCGCATGCAGGTTCATGTGTAAAACATGAAAAAACAGCTGGATGCTAAAGAAAGGCAGCCCTCATGGCTAAAAATGTAAAGCATTTTACAAAATATAGGTTAGGAATGTACTGATATGTTTATATGGTAAATTCTTCATGGCAGGGAGTTTTCCTTATTATATCTATAAAGTGCCATTCTTCAGAAATACTAAGACTGAGTCTGGTCACAGTTACAACGGTTTAGGCTAGTGTTAGATGGAGATAAAGCAAAGCAAGAAGCTCAGAAAAGCAGTAAGTGTCAGAATTACAAAATGGGTCCTCAGGCTTTCACAGACAAAGAGGACTTCACTGTGCCACGTAAGCACAGCTCTGCGTATAAGGCAGTGTAGTGACGCAGGAGGCTTTACATTCAAGTGGTATTTTATTTATGGAACAAAATTTTTAGAAGCAAAATACCCAAACGGAAAGCATCCACTTGGGGGGAACTTAGCTGCCTCCTCTGACATACAGAGCAACAAATCCTACCAGCTCCAAAGAAGCTGCAGCAAAAGTACTACACCCACTGGGAGCAGCTCACACCAAAACCTTCTACAACGCTGGAGGTGGTATCTTGGTAAAAATAAAGATAACTGTATAATGAGACTTTTGAAGTTCTATTGCAGTGGGGTTTGAAAGGAAGACAAATATGTCCCAAAAAGGAAGAACATGTTTACACTCAAATCCACAACGACAACTGTGGTGTTTCCCTTTTCTCCAATGAAAAAACTTCGCAATTGTCTGCCCATAGGGTTTTTTTGACAACACATAAAGATCTTGCGTCAGGAAATGCTGAGGAATACTTCATTTGTCTTTTGTGTTAAAGTCAAAATTAAATATGAATAATTTCAAAGCTTCTGTTTTCCATTACAACTCTTTTGTATCCTTTAAAGATCTACGCTACTCTACACCTTATTAGCAATCTTAATGAAGCAAAAAGGTATTGGAATGCTTTACATTTTCCATTATTAGGGTTATCAGAACTATTACAGCATAGCTGATATGATCATTTTAATAAGTATCCACATTTCTCTTCTCAAAAATTCATCATCACTTACTGAACTGAAAGAATTTTTTCCAACTTTTCCTTTTATCAATACTCAGTGCAGCAAGCCAGTATCATATTTAAATGTGGAGCAATTTTATTGTAATCTCCGTGGTATCTAGCTGTCAGCAAAAGGGTGGCGTAATGGATTGTAATCATTTTGCACAGAGTAAGGACAGGTCTAGCAGAAAATATTTAATTCTAGGTGATATCTCCTGCAGAGTCAGTAAAGGGCACATGCTAATAAGGAAACTGCGCAAAGGCACTGGTGATGACATGCTCCCTGAAAAAAGCAAGCTCAGCAGATACAGTGCAGCTAATAGAACCATTACTGCCTCATGTCAAGCTATGAAAAATACCAAACCAAAGGACAGAGTCATCACAGTGAAGGGAAAAACAAAGCTCTTGTATATTATGGTTGGACAGGTTTTATAGGCAGAACAATGTTAGGATAACAGTGTTATCAAATGCATTAATAAAAAGATGTCAAAAAGCTTGCTCAGTAAAAAGAGCAATTCGCTCTTTTTAATTCACTCTGTGTTGCGCATGTTGTAGCCCTAACATTCATTGTATTAGTTTTCAGTTTGAAACTCATTTCCCACCAAGGCATCTGTTATCTTCTGCTGATGACAGCAGGTTTGCTTTTGCTTTTCTTTCTTTAACTTCAGTTTATGACAGAGTCCACAAGCAAAGCACAAAGCATTGCAAATGAAGATGACTACAAGTCAGGAAAAGCATCCAGTTGCTTTTATAGAGAATTAATTTTCCAGACTCTGATTAAAGGCTTCTGTTACCACTGGCAAAGTGTTGGTCAGCTTCTCTCCTTCTAAAACTGGGAGTCTGTCCAAAAGCACTGAGACTGTGAAATCTCCAGAAACACTGAGACTGTGAGATCTTCATAGCATGCTTGTGGAAGAAGCAGTCTAGCTGGTCACATTATACACAGACAAAAATCTGTCTCCATCTCACACAGCATTTCCATTATTAAATCCTGCTCACCAAAATTTTACCATTAAATTCCAGATAGGAGAAAAAGACTGAATATATCCAATGAGGTATGCATAGGTATTTAGAAATACAACATCATCTAAAGAACCTACTGGAAAAGAAAAATTTTAACGGAGATTTTCGTTACATTCTTTTTCAGAGCGAAGTGCTATTCTTAATTTTCCACAAAAACTTAAACTATCTCCCAATGAATCAGACAGAATATTTCACTTGCATATTTGTTGGTTTCAAAGGAAAAAAATATTCATTGCTTTTTGTCCCTCTGTCTCACTTATGTGCTTGAATGTAATGAGCTGGACTCTGAGCTGAGCCACTGCTTAGCAAAAAAGCAAAGGAACAAATGCCAGATACAAGAGTAAATACCTAACTTTACACTCCTTGAAATTGCAATGCTGCTCATGGATCTTTGTTTTACTACCAAAAGGTTTAATTAGCCAGAACTGTTAGTGAAACAAGTGTCTAACAAAAAGCCCACTAAATGCATGGAGCCTTCCTATTGGCTTCCATTGATGCAGACTTTCAGATCAACAGTGTTAATTTGATAAGTTATATCCATAACACTAAGTCTCAGAAATCAGGATTTACAGTGTGTTTCTGAAGTTTTAATTTTATATATTCTTAAAACCTACCAAAAAGTTGACAGCTTTATCATCAGCTGAAGAAATATTTCAAAGTAAATTTTTGTGTAATTTGCCATTATACTGGTCTCTTAATTTACAATTTAAGACAAGTTGAACATCAGAGGACAACTCAGACACCTCATAAACCTCATAAAAAGTCCTTTGAAATACGCAGTTTATAATCCCCATTCTTCCTTCTCTTTTTACACTACTCAGCAAGTATTTTTGTGAGATATACCCAATCACTGTAACTTTGTGCACTTCCTGCCCCTCTTCAACCAGTCAGAAACACAGAACTACTACAAGAAATAAGTCAATTGATGTGTGTCTTTCGTCATGAGGATTAATTGTATTAGGAAACAATAATCACACCTGAATCTCATACTCCCTTGAGAGTAGGGCAAGCTCATTTTCAAAGAACTTTCAAAGAACTCATGTCCATGGGCATTCTTTACCACTTACACATTTTTGTCCTATGTAAGCCTCAAGTAATGAGCTTCAACCTGTCTCAGATTATCAATTTGTTAAAATCAAAGATTTGTGTAGTAAGAAACAACACATAATTCCCTTACTTACTGATTTGCACTGTTATAGAGGTATCTTTTAGAACCTAGGAGCAACTCCGCAAACTATGGTCACGTAAGAAATCTTTTTTGACATTAATAGATCCATTAAGTCAATGGCGCTACTCATGTGAACAGAGACTGATGTCAAAGAAGACCAATGCTGAGAATGCACTCTTTTGTACATTCTTTAATTCATATGGATAAGCAAGGGAGTGCACATGAGGAGTACTGTTTGGAATACTATGCCCTTATTTCAGTACGCTGACTGTATTTCACATTATTTCCCATAAAAAACTCTGTGGTATGCCATACTCTTACTCACTCTTTATCTTTAAATCTGTTAAGTAATATTACAACAGCAGATGCTTTTCACTCCAGACATGGTTGTAAAGCCACAGTAATTAATAGACACTGTACATGTATTCTTTCTTCGTTTGATGTTTCTTATTGAAGGTTTTACATTGCAATAAAGCTTTATTAAACTCCGGTTAATCAGTATTGTTGTTTCATTAATTCTCACATCTCTACAGGGACTGATCTTCTCATGTTTTGTTGAGTGATGTTCTGACCCTGTAGCTCAAAGAAAAAGAAGGTGCGTTTGTGGTTTTTTTTTCCTAGTTTGTGTCAGCTAAAGAGAAAATACAGATGCCAGAGAATGTTCGAAAGATACCACACACTCCATCATTACCACATCAAATCTTCTGACTGGATAGATTTCCATTAGAACTCTGTCATATATACAGGCTAAATACTGTTGCTGCCATCTGCCAAAATGTGTAGTATTAAGACAGCATGCCTGTGGTACTCCAGCTTGTGGCTGCAGCAAGAGAGTAGGAGAAGTTGCCATCTGCTTCTTTTTGTCCTTCTCTGCATGTAGATTACATAGCAAGACTACACAGGAGATCTTGCCTCCTCTGGAAAATATTGTCAGACTGTAAAAATGGCTCTGACAATTTACTGCCACTTCTGCAATACCAGCAGTTGCATACAGGGAACGAGCTTCACCACTCTATAAGAATTCTAAGTCCTTCACTGAGAATTAACTGGCACTTGAGTATGATACTGATTTGTTGTACACATATATGCTTTATCTAAAGGCAGGCAAATTTGAAAAGATCTCAATGAGCTGTTCTACCAATACCCTTGTGCTGCTATGCTGTCCAGGCCAGAGGATTATTTAGGAGACAGACTGTAAGGCTATCTCAGTTGCTTAGGAGCAATGAGAAAATTTTAAAAGATATTTTCTTAAATACACTAGTGTGTGCATCTTCACAACAGAAATTCAGTCTTCCTTGTTTTCTTAATAATTTAGGGGAAAAAAAAAAATGAAGTGTTTCTTAATTAAAATAACAGCTATCATATTATTAATCTCTAAATGAATTGAACCAGTCTGAAGTAATTTATCATCATTTCAAGCTAGTCTCTGAGAAACTATGTTCAGGGCTCCATTTTGGTTCAGTCTTTAAATCTGCCTAGAGGGGTGTGAAAAAGTATATAGCATTATCAGAACCCAGAAGGGTGTCTAGTGTGCTGCAGGAAGCAGAACTGCTCTGTTTATCAGGATGTAGAATTTGCTTGGCTGTTTCTGAGCCGCACCTTCACAGAACGAGCTCTTCTGGCAGAGAGGTACTGTGACACAGTTATGGATGAAGATTCTCTTTCCTGAAAAAAGACCCTGGTGTTGATTACACACAAAGCTCTATCCCTTGAAAAATATCTGTATTTAAAG